AGTAACTTGCCATTTATTTAAGGGAGGACTAGCTAACATAAACCTCTGGAAAAGGAGAGAAAGAAGATCTTAGGGTGTTTTCTAGTTCAGGAAGAAGTGGGGTCAACTCAATTCAAAACCATATAATTTCATTTGGATTGGTCAAATTCTGGGGAAAAAAAAAAAGGTAACTTTATTAAAGATTTCCTTAAACATAAGTCCTAAAACCATAAAACTCCTAGAAGAAAACATAGGGAAACAGAACTTTGACATTGCCCTTGACAATGGCTTTTTGGGCATTATAACAAAAACACAAACACAAGCAGAAATCAACAAGCAGGACTACATTACACCGAACAGCTTCTGCACAGCAAAGGAAATAATCATCAAAATGTTAAGACAACCTACTTAATGGAAGAAAATATTTGCAAATCATATATCTGATAAGGGGTTAATATCCAATATATATAAGGAACTCATACAACTCAGTAGAAAACAATAAATAAATAAGCAACCTAATTTACAAATGGGTAAATCCCCTTATTAGACACTTTTCCAAAGACAGTCACACAAGTACATCAAAAGGTGCTTAACATCATTAGTCAGGGAAATGCATATCAAAACTACATTGACGTATCTCCTCAGGCCTGCTATAAGGTCTATTATCAAAAAGATGAAAGATAGCAAGTGCTGGAGGGAACATAGAGTCACGGGGACCCTGGTGCAATGCTGGCAAGAACGTAAATTGGTGCACTATATAAAATAGCATGGAGGTTCCTCAAAAAATTATAATAGAGTCACTATATGATCCAGCAATTCCACTTCTGGAAATTTATCCAAAGGAAGATACATCACTATCTCAGAAAGATACCTGCACTCACGTGCTCACTGCAGCATTATTCACAGTAGCCAAGACATTAGATATACATAATTCAGCCATGAGAAAAAAGAAAATGCTGCCATTCCCAACAACCTGGATAGAGCTTGAGGGCATTATGTGAAGTGAAAATAGTCAGACAAAGAAAGACAAATACTATATTATCTCAGTTAAATGTAGAATCTGAAAAAGCTGAACTCACAGAAATGGATAGGAAAATGATTTTCACCAGGGGATGGGGGAAATGCGGAGATGTTGGTGAAAAGGTACAAACTTTTAGTTAAAAGATGAATAAATTCCAGGGATCTAAAGTACAGGAATGTAACTAGAGTTAACAATACAGGACTGTACACTTGAAAATAGCCATGGAGGAGATCTTCAATGTTCTCACAATAACAACAATGAAATGGTTACTATGTGAGTAGCAAATCACCTTCAAGTACACAATGTTATATGTCAATTACACCTCAATACAGCCAGAAAAAACTAATGAAAATAAGAAAAGACTTCCTATATGGCAATTTTCACTTTTATTGAATCTTGACTATTCTAAAGTTGTTTTATATAGCATTTACTTGGAAATGAACCACACTTCAAAAATATTTGTCAGAGTTTATGCTCTTAAAACATATAAAAATAATATTCAAATTTAAAATGTACAAACATAGGAAAAGAGATAAATGTAACAGAAGCATTCTGTTTATTATTATAGCAAACATTTGTAGTAGCATTTCATATCAATTTGTAGTTATAAAGCACATTTCCAAAACAAATCTCATTTAATTATACATTGTATTCATCTGCAAGCCTCTTAGCAACCAGGTGGGAAAAAGAAACATTTTATGAAAGTCTTACTTTAAAAAATGAAGCTCATGAATTTTCTTGGACTATTTCCTGAAAGAATATATTACTTGGCCATTATGTTAATGACTTTGGGGAACACCTAGCTTGTAAGTGTATTAGTATTTTGCAAAATAACAGAAATTATCTTCATATGGACTTTTGAGGTTTCACATCTCTGTGTGTGCATAGCTTCTATCTTGAAATCCTAATTCAGTGCTGACACGTGTTCAAGAATATAGCTAAGACAGTCCAGACAAAATTAAGATCATACTCAAACAGCTCTCATTGTGTCAAATGCTAATGCTTAAGAGTTAAAATAGAAAGTGTGTGTTCCATGGGGACTTTATAATTAGGAACATGAAAATTCAGGCACTGAACCTGGCTGTTATGAAAACTTAAAATCTCTGGGAAAACAAGATCGCCGTTTTCACCCATCTTCACTCGGGCCGCGAAGCGTGAGAAAGGAAATCAATGTTCGTGAGAGGTCACCGCGTACCAGCTGCTCCACAGACACCGTCTCTTCTCCACGACAATCCGGTGCAGAGATAATAACCATCTTACAAATGAGGAAACCAGGGTTTCGTTTGCTAGACAAGCCAAGGTCTGCATGTGGACCCTTCTCTGCACACCGGCCACGTGCCCTGCTGCCACCCCACATGACAGCCCTGTTCACTTCGATTCAAAATAAAGCCATGGTCATTATATCTAAAGACCGATTTTGTCTCAAGAGTGGATCTCAGTCAATGACTTTGTCCTTTTCAAAGACACTCTTAGTTCCACTTCTGATGCACCCTTCCATTACTGGTACCTGCTCCTTTTGGCTAAAAGAAAAAAGACTCCAGATGTTCTCTTATGACTTATAACATCACCTCCATAGACAGGCCAATGGTCTTAACTTCAATTACATTTACTGCATCAGAAACAGAATATGTTTGATTTTGTCCTTTAGACATAACCTAATGACAGACCAATATTGAAAGTAAGCAAGTGCCTCAAGTCCATTTCAATTCACAGCATCCAATATGTCTAGTATAAAATAATAAAGTGTTCCTAGAAATATTAGAAGAAACACCATTATTTAATTACCATAAGGCCTTCCGGGACAGAAATAAAACATGATTTACGTGGATGAGCAGCAGGAGGGTAGGAACTGAAAAGCACTGTACAGACGACACAGGCAACGCCGGTAGAAGAGAAAGCGAACGGTGAACCAGAAACAAAAAGAGAGATAAAATACTAAAATAAAATAAAGTAATAAAAAGGGAGAAGTAAATTCTACAATGATATTTTGTATTACTGAGGCTGAGACAGATCATCGAAACATGAAGGGGAAACAGCACATCAGAGATTAAGTAATGTTTTGCAAAGCTAACAGGAAAAGAAATCATTGAATAAAATGCTTAATCTTTATTTCTCGGAAGATGGCATATTCCCTTTTAGTGAATCAGATTAATTAAGCAACTGGTTTGGTTGGAAAAGCACTGGGTCTATAAATGGGTTTTCCCCAACATCAGGCTACAAACAAAATAACAGGCTTATCACCAAAATGTATGCAAGGAGAGATTGGTGAGGAACAAAACTAAATAAGAAATATGCATAATGTCCTTAGTAATCAAGTAATAGATAACTGCGAGGACAAACAAGGGATTTTAAATCATAGGTTGTTTTGCTATAGTTTTAAGATGTGCTCCTCAGAAACATAGCTACCCAGTGGTTAGAGATGCAAGATCAATCACAGAAGTATTTTAAATAAATTCTAAATAATTTCAAACACATATAAAGGCTCTCATAAGTATTGAACGATAATTTTTGAAAAGTATAAACAGAAGAAAAGACAACATATGCATGAGAGGATGCTAAGTTATCCTAAGACCTTAGAATGACTGAGCCTTGTTTCTCCATGTACATGTCCACTGGGGGCCAGCTGCAACCTCTGCCCTGTGCTGTCTCCAGGGCGGGACCTGCAGTCATCCGTGAGTACAACTAAGTGCACGGCTTGGCACCACGCCCTCCTGCCCTTGCGCCTTCCGCCTTCCCAGCCTCGGTGCCAAAACCACCGGCCACCTGCCGAGCCACCCTGTGGACCCTCTGGGCTCTGCCAGGTGTAGCTGTGCGTTCAGGGGCAGCCTCACTCCACAAGCACCCGCCAAGGTGGCGAGACTCTCACCACGGGCACTTACCTGGTTTTTGTTTTACAATGAAGCTGTGTACATTTTTTTATATTCTCAAATTCTAGCAAGGGATCTCCCTCCTTAAAAGTGGTTGACCAAAAAGAAATTGAAAAAACACTTTAGCCAGATCAGTAAAAGGAGAAGAGCCCAGAAAGAGAACGGGGAATGTGTGAGAATTTTATATGTGGCAAAAATGGCGAAGCAAGACAAAAAAAGAAAGAAGAATTATTTGATAAATGATTGGCAACTTGAGGGAAAACTACAGAAATAGCATTCCTTCCTAAAATACACCAGAAGCAATTCTGAATAGATCAAATTATTGAGTGGGAAAAAAAAACCAAACAATAAAGAGAAGAAAAGACATACAAAAATATCTACATGATCTCTGACTAGAAAACAAATTTCCATCATTAAAATGTTTGAAAGAAAAGCATTACTCCACTTGAGTATACACACACACACACAAAAATCTTCTGTATATCCACAAATGGTATAAATGAAAATTTTAATTTTGCCTTCTTGGGCAAATAATAAGTGGAGGGAATACTTTCAACAAATTGATGGACAATGAATAATATACAAAGAGTTCAAATGGAAAGTAGAATATATGGTACAGTTTTTCTAACCTACCACATTAGATACTTGAAAATCAAAATCAAGTTATATAATTCATATCCTCTGATCCCAATTCCATACTAGAAATGTTCCTCAAGAAATTAAAAGAGATGCTGTTAAACACGTTTTCAAGGATAATCTTTCAATGTCCTTTGTTAAAGCTGTGAAAAGTTGGAAGGACCCTCCATGTGCAAAGTAGGAGAATGACTAGTTACGTGCCACCCAATGCAACAGGAACCATGAAAATCTCATGGGTATATACTACTTAACAATGGGGGGACATGCTCACATGGATTGTTAAATGAGTGCAAGTAGAATAAAAGTGTGTTTGTGAGATAAGTTTCCAGAGAAGTGGGCATGAAGGTGATAGCGGTCAAATCATCAACAATATTTTTCTTGGACCTAGTGACAGCTACAATTTCTATATTTTCTCTGTAGTCATTGGCATTTTCCAAACTTTCTTTGAGGAAGATGTGTTCATTTTAGAATTAGAATAGAATGATGAAAAGCTCACCATGATGGTCCTGTTGGTGTGGATGGGGTGGGCATGGAAGGTTGGGTGTCCCCGCCGCCCTCCCTGACCAATGGCACTGAAGCGGATTCAGAAACGTTTCGTATGTACCAAGATGGTTTGCATCCGCCGTGAGTAGTTACCCAAAGAAGCCTATGACTAAATACGTTCGATTTTCTAAAGAACAGCTACCCTTATTTAAAGCACAAAACCCAGGTATGAAAAATCAAGAACTTATTAAAAAAATCGCCCAACTGTGGAGGGAACTTCCTGATGCAGAGAAAAAAATGTATGAAGATGCTTACAAAGCAGACTGGCAGGCGTACAGAGAAGAGATAAACAGAATTCAAGATGCTCTAACTCCAAGTCAGATTATATCTTTGGAAAAAGAAATCATGCAAAAACGTTTAAAAACGAAAGCACTAATAAAAAAGAGAGAGTTAACAATGCTTGGAAAACCGAAAAGACCTCGCTCAGCTTGTAACATGTATGTAGCTGAAAGGTTCCAGGAAACTAAGGATGTTTCATCACAGGTAAAGATGAAGATTGTAAATGAAAACTGGAAAAATCTCCCTACTTCTCAAAAGCAAGTATATGTTCAACTTGCTAAAGATGATAAAATTCGTTATGATAATGAAATGAAATCTTGGGAAGGACAAATGGCTGAAGTTGGACGAGATGATCTTGTGCGTCGCTCAGCAAAATTCAAAGAAAACACTGGCCACTAAGGAATGTTAAAGTAGAAGATTTGAGTCACGTTCACAATGGATAGACACAAGAAACCAATTAAGTCTCAATATTTGAAGCTGTTGTAAAACTAGGATAAATTTGGTAAACATTTTATATTTAACTCCTCTTTTTTAGCTCATGGACTTATGCCAGTTCAGTACATTTTTTATTAGTATCATGCTTTAGAAAACCCAAACAGGTAAAAAAAAAGTCATGCGAAATTTAGTTTGTGTTTAGGAACTACTGAGGATCAATATAATCCATGAAATGTAGTAGTGAATCATTTTACCTTTGATAAAGGTAAATCAGACTGTGAAGTTTTATTATACTTGATGACTATGGAAAAAGTATTCTTGTTTCCTTATGCTATGGAGTCAGGAGTTTTCTATTCAGAAGTGCTCCAAGTTGCAGAAGCCACAGTGTTCTGTGATAGAACCATGTAGTTTTTGAAAAGCAGTGAGTGCCCACCTAGGTAAATTCCAAATTTATATTACATTCAGAGTTGATGGTTGTACATGTAAGGGATTACTGATTTCTTTTGCCACTTTTTATAAAAGGCATGGAAAGATTTACAAACCTTTTCCTAATTTTTTTTTCCCTAAAGTAAAAACTAAGAAATTATGTACCAAATCTATGCATATTGTTTCATAGTGCATGAAATAAAATTTTAAATCTTTTCTAATTATATGTTGTAAGGCAGAACATTCATTTTACAGCTTTTTTTGCTTTTTTTTTCCCTTCTTTTTTAAGTAGGGATTTTTATCCTGAATTATTTTCTCATTCTCATGTAAGTGCATTTATCCTGTAAGTAGAGAACCTGTCTGTTCTAAGTTTTAAAATGAGAGATCTACAAAACAAAAAGTCTCCAAAGCTCTAGACTTGGAATCTGTGAGTTTCAAACATTTTCCTGAGGTAAAGGTGTACATAAGGGATAGCTAATAGTGGCTCATGGGCCGAAGCTCACTGCCTGCTTTTAATGGCCTGTGAACTGAGAATTGTGTTTATAATTTTAAATGGTTAGAAGAATATTTCAAGACACATGAAAATTAATAGGAAATTCAGTGTCCCAAAATAAAATTTTACTGGTATATAGCCATACTCATTCTTTTACTTATTGTTCATGGTTGCTTTTGTACAACAATGACAGGATTGAGTAGTTGCTATAGAGATTATAGCCTGCCCAACCTAAAATATTACTCTCTGCACTTACAGAAAAAGTTTGCCATCCCATGGTCTACAGTATAGAGTACTGTGACTAGTGTTCCCAAGTATTAATGTTTGTGGATAGGCTTTTTAAAAAACTGTTTCAGACATTCTTATTTTAGAATCTTTGTTACCATTGTCTTAAGAGGAAAGAGATCAAATCACTAGAGAGGTTAACCAAACTGTTGTCCCACAGTGTTAGCCAGGAAATCAATCCTTAGTTTCAAATTATGTTGCAGTATAATAAAAAAGATTCATACAGTGTGGAAAAAAAATGTTATGTAGGAGAATATAAGTTTTGATACCTAAAATTAATTGAAGAAACCATGAAGAAAAATATGGCTAAATTTGATTATATAAAAATGTAAAATTTCTTTATATCCATTAATGTCATAAATAAAATTTTAATTTTGCTTTTCCAGGCAAATAACAAGTGAGGAAATTATTTTATAAATGTATTTTATGATATATTTTATAAATATATCCATAAATTTAGTTATATTTTATAAGTATATATATATATATGTTACATGAATATATGTAGTATAACTGATGTGTATGTCTTTGCAGCTATGACCAAAATTCAAAACTAACCTCAACATCTGAAACAGGCCTTCGTTACATAAGCGATGGTCACAGATGCAGTAGCATATGGTTATGATGTGTTAATTGGGATACAAAGTCTCCTAGAGAAGAAAACCACAAGAAAATAAAAAACGGAAATACAGAAAAGACTGGAGGAAATACTGGAATACTTTAACAGGTTAGTATTACGGAAGCTTTTTGTTTAAGGCTTTAGATTCTTCTGCATTTCTAGTTTTTCCACAAAGTACAGTTTTATGACTAAGATATGTTTAATTTTTTTTAAAAGTCAAAAGAGAGATTGAGGTTGAAAGACAATTATTAAATAATTTTAACATTGAATGTTAAGATGCCAGTACTATCCCAAATATCAGCAGTTTTTGTCACCATTAACTTTTAATTTTTGTAGAAGGAGCAGTTCAATGTTTCTTTCTCATCTCATTCCTTAATTGATATGACAGTAATGCACCAATTCATAGATATCTAGCTAAAATCAAACCAACACAGATTGCTTCATGTTTTTCAAAGAGAGAGAAAATTTGCCTTGATAAGCTTGTGAAATTTCCTTGGAATGAGGAAATTGTTTGGGGTGACTCAGCTACACCCACGTGCCAGTTTGTTGTGTGTAATTCCTCTAAGAATGAAAGAACTGCTTATGACATCCACTCACTCAGTTACACTCCCGCACGTAACTGGGAGAAAGGAAATAAAAACAAGACTTTTTAGTCCAGCTGAAGAGAAATTCAGAGAGCCAGGCAATGCTGGCAAACCAAACCCTTTGAGGAGACAGGCCGTGATGGAGACGAATGGCATGCTGCTCACAAAATCTAGCCACAGCCCAAATCCATGTGCTCTTTAAGAGCTCCGTGAGGTAAGGAAGAAAGAGCAGCCCCTCATTGTCTAGTCAACTGAAATAGTGATGCACAGCATTTCCCTGGGTCACAGCTCTAGAATTAGAGACAAAATTATTGTAGAATCATGGGTGTTAAAAAGGAGACTGAGTCACTTGCAAATGCATCAGCAAAATCTCTAAAGATGGATAATCTCGTTTGTATTGAACAGGAGGTGTGTTGAGGTCCTCATTTGTAGTCAGAGCCCTGTGAGTAGCCAAAAGACTTGGACAAGTCACCAGATCTCTTCTTCCTTGTCTGTAACAAGGGCAGCATGACAAACATCTCAAGGTGGTTTTTCAAGCTCAGACTCTATAAAAGACAAAAAGCCCTGTGTAAAGTAAAGAAAGCCCTTTGCAAACTGTGAGGTGTTTTACAAAGAAAATGATATGATACTAACTCACTAAACACTGAGCTGTGCTGCCTGCCAGGCCCCAGAGAGCAAATGATGGCCTCACAGAACCACCATGCCTCGATTTGCCTCCAAATCAAAGTAAGAAGACTGACTGCATCCTCTGGCACAAGCCAACATAAACAAGGCCCCATGCTTCACCTCGCCATCTGTCAAGACAGCTGCCACCTGCAGGACCGGCCCCTGACCCTCTGCTCTCTGAAGGTCCAGTTACTTGTAGAAAGATATGTGTAATGCCCACTTCCTAGTGATTCTGCAGCCATCTCGGTCCCGACCCAGAGAATTTAGTTGGAGGTGAGTCAGCATTGAATTGCTTTTTAATTTAGAGCAATTAGGGAGAAGGGCACCACCAACACCATTCGTGAAGAAAGTATCACAAAAAGAATGACAAAGTGCAAGTTGCTCCTGCGGGTTGCAAATGCCCTCCTGTGTGTAACCAGCCCCAAAATGCCCAAAAAGCCGTGAGTCAGGAAGGAAGTTACTACACCTGCCCACTGTAGTGTGTGACCAGCATTGTCATTGTTTCACTGTAAAATATGAGTCCTTTTGAGTTTTATTTAGTGATGTCATGTGTAACTTGGCGGCCACCTTCCTAGTTGCCCTGAAAATCAGAATACAAAGCCAGCCACTGGTCTCGAAACCAAGAGGAAGAACTGTGGACCTGATCAGCCGGAAAACCGAAGTGATGCCGGTGCCTCCTCCCTGCCCCCCGCCTCCCTCTCTGTCTTCCCGCATTCAATAAATACTCACTACTTACCTGCTGTACTTGTGGGAATATAAAAACGGAACAGAACTATCATATTTCCAAATTTAACACAAAACCATGAGAAAAGAGAAGCACCAAATTTATTATGTGTTTTTCAGGAGCCTTCAGATATCCTTTCTATGATATATATCCAGGAAAATATATAAGAGTATAGGGAATAGTGGGATTGGGGGCTTTTCCTAAACTGGCAGAGAGTGTGGCTTAATTCAGGGCCAGTACATATTTAAATCGTACAATCTGAAAAACATCTGTTCCCTAGATGATAGCAAACAAAGAAATGATGGCTGGGTTCACGGGCTGGTGTGTGGGGTACGGGGCGCGGCATGTTTAAGGCACCCAGCATCACCTTCGCTCCGTGAACCCTACGTCTTAATGGTTCAGAACACGCGCACTCACTGTCGGCCTGGGGTGGGGACCGGATTCCTTTGCTCACAAATGAAGGCCGGAAGGTCCCAGGCACTGCACTGGACCCTGGGAGGCTCACGTGTGAAGAAGCAATGGTCCCTCCTCACGCTGGGGAAGCACAAACCCATGAGGAACGTGAGCTACTAGCACGTGGTGCCCCGCGGAGGCAACCTGTCCCGGAAAGGATCGGGGTGGCTTTCTGGCTTCTGGGATGAAAGTGGGAAGACACATCCGGATTCCTGACGGGCGGGGAAGCCCAGCAGCAGGACGGCGGTTTAGGGGAGGAGGGACAGAGCTCCACGGTCGCTCCAGCACGTGGTGTTGGAATGAGACGGCTCTGGAGACGGGGCGGGCGGCTGGGGGGAGAGTCCCCGGGTCCAGGTGAGGGGGCGGCTCACGGATCAGACGAAGGCCGGAGCTGCTGGCCGGGAGCCCCTCCACTGTCCTCGGCCCAGAGGGGAGCAGATGCCGCGCCCTCGGGGCCCTCCTGGCTGGCCCTGCGGGGACGGCCCCTGGCTCTGGGCTCATTCCTGCAGGGCCACGTTTCCCAGGTGATGGGGCCGCACCACGCCGGAAGTGCGCCACTGCGCCGCGGATCCGCTGGGCGGGAAGGACTAACACACATCCCTCGTCCAGGCGCACGCCCCTGTGTCTCCGGCGTCACCTGTCACTCCTGGCAGGACAGGACGCCGCGGCGCTTCCAGGACACAGTGCCGTGGGTGCTTCCGGAACAGGATGCAGTGGGCGCTTCCGGGGAGCTGATGCTATGGGCACTTCCGGAAACCTGATGCTGCGGGCGCTTCCGGGACAGGCCACCGTGGGTGCTTCCAGGACAGGATGCTGCGGCACTTCCGGGACAGGATGCTGCGGCACTTCCGGAACAGGATGCTGCGGTACTTCCAGAGGCACCCTGGGCACCCCGGCACGGGGTCCAGCAGCATGCCACAGCCCCCCCCCGGTCCCACTTTGGCCAGCCTCCCCCTCCTGGATGGCAAAGCTGGGCCCCCAGGCTGTGTCCTTCAGCAAGGGCCCCTCGGTCATGATTTACCATGTGGTCTCCATCTTCTGGAAACGTGT